ATATATTGTTCGATAATTGAAGTTTTTGTTTTTTTTTTTTGTTATATAGTACATCGATAATGATAGAATTATGTGAATGCGTTAATGTTATCATTACTTGATAGAATAGCAAAATGATGGGGCGTGAAAGAAAGAATGAGAGATTATTGTATGTTGAAGTAGTATATATATATATATATTTTTACGTTTATCCAAAGAGAGAATAGAGGACGGGCTAAGTAACAAAGTGAGCTTATTAAGGATATATGTCTATATATTATATATTGGATGTAACTAAAGTGCGTCGCAAAACTCCTTAATAGCGAATATATATTTCTTTGTATAAATTTGTGATACTCTTGTTCTTAGGGCACAGAAAATTTCAAGTTTTAAAAACTTTTTTTCGTCCATTTTATTGAACTTTTTTTAAAAATAATATTTAATTATAATATAATTATTATATTATTCTATTATCATTATTCCATTATATATAAAATTCGGACAAAGAATTACAAAGAATTACATAGATTATTGAAATTACATGAAATTTAATTTTTTTGTTTCTAAAAATGGAAATTTACATAATCGCTGTCCAAATGCTTAGCTCTCAGAATTCTCAAGATCATCGAATATCTCTAGAATTCTAAATCTTTCAAAACTTAAAAATTTTAGAACTTATCTTTAAATTATAATTTTTTAATTTTCTGTAGATACTGAATATAGGATACTGAATATCTTACGTGATGATCTCGTGCATTGCTATATATATTGAAAAATCATTTATAAATCATTCGACTTTCCATGGTCTCATATTGTTTAAATGTTTCGCACTTTAGCAATATCCCATGTACGTATATCGCGACATCGAATTTTTCGGGGTAGTTCCCCATGTTCAAGAAGAGCGATGCTAACATTCGCCAAGATTATATAATTAATAAAAGAAAAAAAACAGAGAGATTTTATAATGAAAAATATAATGAAACATTTATTGTCGCGACAGCAACATGTCTTTATAGCCAAGTATATATACGCATATACATACATACATACACATATATATATATATATATATTTTATATTGACCGTTGTAATGTGTCCGTAGCCGCACGTGATGACTAATGGCTCGCCTAAACAGGGAAAATAACTTGTGTACCACTTGCGATATGTACCTCGTGAAATTGTTGTAAACGTGTGCTCTTCTCGTTGTACGCACGTCACATAACAGCTATCAGCCTAACTTTGACAGAAATTCGTAACAATGTATCATTATTTACTCCTGTAAGTTGAATAAATGTTTCACAATGACATTTCTCACTCTCATAGAATTTGTATATCTCGCTATGATTCCTAATTCTGATAAAAATTTAATTTAAATTTTTATATAAAGTCATAATTAAATTTTTGCATTAAAATTTGTATTTATATATTTATACATAAAGTATAATTAAAGTTTCTAAAATTGACGTTTTGTAAATTTTTGACCGAAATTATTTCGAATTTTTAAATATTCTAATTCATTCTTTAGCTAATACAATATTTATATTTTGCCCTTAATTATCCACCAGCCACCTTGTTCTTGCAATACTTTTCCTTCTTTATTTAGTTTGCGAAGATGTTGTTCTACAGTAAATGCTGCAGCTAGCCACAACTTCTCCGGTGTATCCTGCACAAGTTTTTTTTTGTTTTAATTGATTCCATTAAAAAAAAGGCAAATTGATTATTTATGTAAAAAATTAACATATTGCATTTTAAATTATTTCGAATTAAAATAGATGCTTGAGCATATGTTAAAAAAAAACGAATAGTAAGCATATGTTAAAAAAAAACGAATAGTAATTAATTTTTACTTTGTATATCAGCTTGACGATGTCCATCTCTGTCATTGGCTTATCTCTCTCCTTTTGCAATATTCGTAGAATATCCTCTTCTCTTTGCTGTCTGTGCCTAATGTAATATTGTATACGTGGCAGAGGATCATCAAGAACCGGCCCATGGCCTGGATAAATTGTTTTAGGCTGTAACTCTAGGATCTTCTTCAACGAAAGTATATAATCATGAAGATCCTCGAAAACCGATGTGCCTTCCCCGAGAATGCAATCGCCGCTGAATAGAACATTCTCGTCGTGCAGCAACAGGCAAGCGTGATCGCTGGTGTGTCCTGGCGTATACTTAATTTGGAGTCTTGCTCCTTCAACCTCGACCATCTGATCGTTTTTCAGAGGTTCCCACTTGATGGATTTCTCATCATCCGATCTATTCGTATCGTTCGGTGATCGTGGCAGTTTCCACACAGTGGGTTGTTTGTCCGTGGGGAACAATTTCTTTATTAATTTCCGCACGGGCTCTACTCCGCCAATGTGGTCGTGATGCCAATGGGTGATTACCAAGTGCTCGACAGTCGCGTTCTCTTCACTCAAGACACTGTCCAGTAGTTTTATATAGGCATCAGCCGTTTTTGCTTCTCCGGAATCGACCAGCACGCGCCTGCAATAATGAATTTCTTATCAAAGAAAATTTCTCTGCACCGACTAATCTATTGAAGAATAATGCATTTTGTTTTTTAACCTCGTTTTTAACTTAGATATTTTATTCTTTCTTCTCGAAATTAATTTAAAAAAAAATTTACTTTCGTTATCTTTTGAATATCCTTTACCTTTATTGAAGCGCTATTTTCTGTTTGTTTGCAGAGAACTGATTTTATATGATGTCTAAAAATACCGAATCATATATTCCTTCATTTGAAAAGGCTAATCTTTTTATACCAAATTTCAGCTTCTTAAAAAGGGAATGGAGTAGGAAATTAAATTATTTATTCCTGGATAGCATATAGGTGTCCTCAGGAAATAATATCCAATATGAACAAAACAGATTTTCTATATGGACATCTTTTATTTTAATCCCAGGATCTCCTTTGTATATTCTCAGGAAGATCAAATGCAATACATTTCTAGTTCTTGAGACATTCCTTTTTATATTTATATTTGGCAAAAAAGAATTCATATATAT